TGAAACTTTATTGCTAGTCTGAGCATCTATATCTATATATTAAAATGAAATATGCAAAGTGGCATTTTCCTGTTTTATGGTTTATTTTCAAAGTTATTTTTTATTTTTTTATTTTTTCTTAAAGATATCTATTTTTTTTTTGAAATTTTAATTTTAAAATTGAACAAAATAACTCAAGTGACTCATCACCTTTAAGACTTTTAACACATTAAAATACTATTAACTCTCTCTCTCTCTCCCCTATATATTTGCATTAAACTGTAATTATCAATAAAGTTTAATTATATTGAAATTGAGATATTCAATGATATATTGTCGTGCTAAATAATCTACTTACATTTGGGCAGGGGGTTTTGGTATTAAATATTCTCAAGAGAAATTGAGGCAAGAATTAGTAAAATACATTGTACATGCTGAACAATCATTTTTGTTAGCTAAAGATACTAAACTTGAAAAGTGGTTATGTAATTCTGTAAATCCACAATTTAAAAAAAAAAGTTTATAGGAATACTATTAAATTATATGCTTTAAAAAATTTTTATTCCTATAAACAAAATTTAATTTATATGTTATCAATCTTAATCCTAAAGTTGTAATTACTTCTGATGTTTGGACTTCTAAATTTAACATAAGTTTTATTTTTGTTACCGATCATTTTATTGATGAAAATTAGCTTTTAAATAAAATAATTTTAAGTTTTACTAGGCTTGAATGATCACATACCGGCCCAACAATTGCTACAAGCACTTTAAATGCTTTACATGCTTATGGAATTGAGAATAAATTATTTTCTATTAGTTTTAATAATGCTAGTAATAATGATTTAGCAATAAATATTTTAAAATCGCAATTAAAATCATGTTTAAATGGTAAATTATTTCATATCAGATGTACATGTCACATCTTAAACTTATGTATTCAGGATGCTTTAAATATTATTTCTATTCATATTTCTAAAATTAAAATTATATTATATATATTAAAATTTTTGGAGCAAGAAAACAAGAATTTAAATATTTATGTCAAAATTATGGTTTAAAATATAAACATTTTATATTAGATGTTAAACATAGATGGAATTCTACCTATGCTATGTTAGAAAGTTGTATTTCTCACAAACAAATTCTTAGTGATTTTTATAATGCAAAAATGCCTAATGATGTTATATTTGAGGAAGACTAAGAAATGACAATTTGTATAAGAGATTTTTTTAAACATTTTTATGATGCAACTAATGAATTATCAGGTATTTATTATCCAACTAGTTGTAATTTACCTTATTAATTAATGGTGATTAGTGATTGTTTTGCAAAATATAGAAATAATCCACAATTTAAAAGTATTGTTGAAATAATGGAAAATAAATTTAAAAAATATTGTGAGAACATTTCTCTTATTTATTGCTTAATTACAATATTAGATCCTAGGATTAGGAAAGATGGTTTAGATATTTTACTTGAAACATATAGTGAAAATATGAATATTGAAATTGGAAATAAAAAAGAAGAAATTAATAGTTTATTATTTGAGATGTACAATTTATATGAATTTGAAGTAATAGGAAATAATTCTACAAGTTGTAAAGCTGCATCTTCCTCTTCTGAACTTGAGCTTAGTAGTAGAAGAGAACAACTTTTTTATTTAATAAGTAGGAGGCATAAATCTGCTACCTCAACCACAAGTTCATTTACTGAACTTAATTTTTTATTTACAAGAAAAATTTTCTACTTTAAGTAAGGGAACAAATAATTTTGATATTTTAGCTTGGTGAAGTAAACATTCAAAAAATTATCCAGCTCTTGCCGCCATGGCACACTAACCCCTTCGGTGTCTACAGTTCCATCGAAGTCTTGTTTTAGTGCAAGTACTAGGGTGTTGGACGACAAGAGAAGCTGTATGAATGATGAAAGTATAGAGATGTGCATTTGCTTTAAGAATTGACTGGATGTTGAAGATAGATTACAAGACAAAGGAGGGCATGACACTACACCCGATATTTCACCTGAAGCAAATGATGAAAGTCATGAACAATAGGAGAAAATTAGAAAATGATGACGTCAATATTTTTTGTATACTCACTCAATGGTTGTATATCATTTTTTCAAATTATTGTAAATTTTGTTTTAATTTTATTTAATTTATTTGCTATTTTTTAATAATGTAATTTTGTATTTTCAATTTGTAGTATTGTATTTTTTATATTTTATTAATTTATTCCATTTTCCAATTTCATATTTCATTCATCCAAGTATCCAACCACTGTATGCTTTGTAATTTGTATCATTCAAATTTAAATGAAATAAAATTCCTTTTTTCTTCCAATTTGTTATTCCATTCTTATTTGGTTAAGTATTTTTTTCATTTATTTGTTAGATTTTTCATTTCTTATTTTTTTCAAATAGTTTCCAAAGCCCAAAGAAAAGTTAAATATTTTAGTTTCACACTTTTACTTAGCAAAGAAATAAAAATAAATAAAAAATGCCAAAAAAACAAAAAAAGGTAAAAAACCAGTCTGGCCCGGTTCGACCCAACTCGACACGACCCAGGCCCATGGCACAGCCTGCAGCTCGCCCGACCTAGGCCCACAACACGGCACGGGCCTACATGGGCTTGGGTTGTGGGCCATGTCGGGCCAACCCCAAGTTATCACAGGGGAGGGCAACGTGACCCCCAAGTTATCATAGGGTCGTGTCAGGCTGGCATGACCCATTTTACACCTCTACAAATACCTTCTTTTAGTCAGCATTCCAAATAAAAAATATTTATGTAATGCATTAATTTTACTTCACTTTAGCCTTTTTACATTTGTCCAAGAAGAATGATGAGAATTATTCTTTAAAAGTTGTCTAGCAAAATAAATTAGTGGAGGGTAAAGTTGAAACTTTAAATTAGTGGAGGTACTTGCACTTTTTTCTCAAAACTATAGGGTAGGCCTATGTTATGGCCAAAACACATAGGTGGTTTATAGAATTGTTATAAGAGGATTTTATCTAGAGAATAGGAAATTGACCACTCTCACTAAAGCATAACTTAGATTGTGATCGGATAAACTAGACATAACCCCCAAAAAATAATATTTGAATTGAACTTAGATGTCTGCCATTTAATTGAAAATGTCATAGAGCTCCATTTCAATTTTGATGATAAATAAAGCTCGTGCATCGCACGGGACCTGACTAGTTGATTATAAAAAGCATTGAACTGATTACAATGGTTTTGGTTTCATGATTTTGACCCAATTATTAATTGGGTCAATTCAGATGTTTGCCTGTTTCAAATTAATTCAAACCCAAAATTAATTATTTTATTAAATATATATATTATATATAATATTTTCTTATAATGTTTATCATATTTTATGTTTAAAATGGTAAATTAGATAGATAATAAATAAAATAATATAATTTTAAAATGTTTAATTCATTAACATATAAATAATTTAGTATTTTTTTATCATTTTTATTAAGATTGTATTATTAAAATTAAAATTTTAAGTTATTATTTAAATAAACAAATATAATTTTTAATATAATCAGGTTTATTGGGTCTATACTTGATAGACCCAACTATTAACCAAGATAGTTTTGGGTCTATGATTTTGTCTTGATTAATAATTGGTTCGGTACTAGTTCTACCTATACGCAACCTGTTGACAACCCTAATTTTTGGTTTTGATTTTCAAATATAAACTCTAATTTCTTGTTAAACCACTATTTTTTCTTTTTTCTTTTGTATTTTTGCATTAATGCGTTCACATTAGAAATCTGTTGCACCCTTAGTTATATCAGTTTTCAATTTCTATAAAAATTGCAACCATCTAAATGCCACAAAAGTCATGCCTAAAGACTAAATCTAGAACCATTTCACGATGCATGACCTTAATGCCACGTTCATTTTTCAGGAAGTGGGGGTAGATAAGTTGGTGGGTCCCATGAAATATAAATAAATATGTGCATTTACCTGGGCAAAGAACACCCTCTTGAGGCTTGGGTAAATAACTTATCCATCCTCACAGAAAATTACTAATACAGCCCCATTCGCTTTTCAGTAAATTACTTACCCAACTAAATGCACTTGCCCAGGCAAAAGTATTTCGTAAGAAACATTTACCCAGATAAGTGCATTTACCTATTTTTTTTTTATTTTTTAGGTAAATAAAATAATAACCATTTTAGCCATTAAAATTTCATTATCAAAAGGGGCATTCTTGTCTCATCCAAGTGTTAGGTAACTTTCCCTAGTCCCACATAAAAAAAAAGAACATGGGCTTCTTGGTCTTCCCCCCCTCTCAAAATCCCAAAAATGAACACCCCCTACATGATAAGATAATATTGTCCATTTAACAATGTTACTTTTTATAAATAAAATGGTCATTGTATAACTTTAACCAAGTAATAAAAGAATACCGGCAAATGCACTTGAGTAAGTGCATTTACCCAAATAAATAACTTACCAAAATGCAAACAAGCCTAAGTGTCATTTCCATGGCAACAACACGCACTACCTCTTTCACCTTAGGCTGCGTTTGGTAGAAGTGTAAAATCGAATCGGGGTAAACTTTGCACCCCAGTTTAATTTTGCAAGCATTTGGTGTAAAATTACATTTTACCGTTTAATTACATCGATAATCAATGTAATAAATACATCGAAATTATCAATGTATTTATTACATTGCTCTCTCTCTCTCTCTCTCTCTCTCTCTCTTCTCTCTTCCTCCAGCAAGAACGGAGAGGCGGCAACAACAATGGTTGACTGTTGGCGACAGCAATGGTTGCCGGGGCAAGGTTGACTGTTGACGAGAACAGAGAGGCGGCAACAACAGTGGTTATTTGTTCATCATCTTCCTCTGACGAGAACGGTAATGGTTGCCTTCTCCATCATGACCGCCACTTTAATGGTTGCCGTAGCGGTGGAGGTGGTGGGAGCGTGGTCTTTGGCTTTGTAACAGAAATGCCTGACGATTTTGGTGCCTAGCCTGCCACCAGCTTCTCCCAGGCCTCCTACGCTTCCTTGTCGTGCTTCAAGAACACTTGGGTGACGTCGAGGCAGTGCATTTTCCCCGGTAGCAGCTCCTTCAGCCGATAAATTTTCTGCAACTGGCAACGGGCTAACATGCATGTGTTCACCTTGATCTCTTCAATTGCCTCCTTGAGGAGTATCGCCAAGGTTTCTTCGTCCAATGGTGATGTAGCTTCTGCTCGTAGGAACCTGTCCATCTCCGGCACCTCAATGGTCCGCCTGATTCCCCGAGAATAGTCGGCTTTTGGTTCAAAGAACCTCCGCACCTCATCCACCAACCCGGCCTCAACCATGCGGTCCACTCGCTTGGACATAGACGAGTGGAGCACAAGCAAGCACACGCCCACCCAGAGGAAGCAATAGTCGTACCTCAACTGAAAATCAAGATCATCCACTAGTGTGATTGCAAGCTCCCATTATATTCTTGGATGGAGCTTCAACAAAAGCAGCCAAGCGCAAGAACTGGGTCTAATACGTCGCTCACCGCCACTCACGCACAAGAGCCTTTCTTGTTGCAACACCCAGTCACCAGTTTCTGGGTCTAATACGCCACTCACCGCCGCTCACAGTGCTCTTTTTCTTGGCTGACCGGCAAGGAATGCAATCTCTCGGTTGTAGTGGACTTTAAACTCAATGATTTACCAAACGGGAAGAGTGTTAAATGGGACAAACATTCGGTTCCCATTTTACAGTCTTATGAACCCATTGGTGTAATAATCCTCGGTGTAAATTTATATTTACACCGCGAACAAACGTACTGCGTTTGGTAGAGGTGTAAAATCAAACCAGAGTAAACTTTGCACCCCAGATCGATTTTACAAGCATTTGGTAAACATGTAATTTTACACCGAATAAAATTACATTTTACCATTTAATTACATCAATAATTGATGTAATAAATACATCAAAATTCGCTCGCTCGCTCACTCTCTCTCTCTCTCTTCTCCTTCTCTCTTCCTCCGGCGAGAACAGAGAGGCGGCGACAGTAGTGGTTGACTGTTGGCGACAACAATGGTTGCCGAGGCAAGAATCTATCTACCGGGGCAAGGTTGACCGTTGACGAGAACAAAGAACAGAGAACAGAGAGGCGGCGACAGTAGTGGTTATATGTTCATCATCTTCCTCCGACGAGAACAGTAGTAGTTGCCTTCCCCATGATCGCCGCTTTGATGGTTGCCGTAGTGGCGAAGGCGGTGGGAGTGTGGTCTTCGGCTTTGTAGAAGAAATGCCTGACGATGTTGGTGCCTGGCCCTGCCACCAGCTTCTCCCAGGCCTCCTCCGCTTCCTTGTCGTGCTTCAAGAACACTCCGATGGCGTCGAGGCAGTGCATTTTCCTCCGCAACATCTCCTTCAGCCGATAAATTTTCTGCAACTGGCAACGGGCTAACGTGTAGGTGTTCACCTTGATTTCCTCGATCGCCTCCTCGAGGAGTATCACCAGGGTTTCTTCATCCTCCGGTGCTGCAGCTTTTGCTCGGAGGAACCTGTCCATCTCCGGCACCCCGATGGCCCGCCTGATTACGCTTCTGGTTCAAAGAACCTCCGCACCTCGTCCACCAACCCGGCCTCAACCACGCGATCCACTCGCTTGGACACAGACGAGTGGAGCACAAGCAAGCACACGTCCACTCAGATGAAGCAGTAGTCGTATCTCAACTGGAACTCAAGATCGTCCACTGGTGTGATTGCAAGCTCCCATTAAATTCTTAGATGGAGCTTCAACAGAAACGGCCAAGCGCAAGAAATGGGTCTAATATGCCGCTCATGTACAAAAGCCTCTCCTGTTGCAACACCCGATCACCAGTTTCTGGGTCTGATACGCCGCTCACCACCGCTCGTGGTGCTCTATTTCTTGGCCGACTGGCAAGGACTGCAGTCTCTTGGTTGCAGTGGACTTTTACCTCAATGATTTACCAAACGAGAAGAGTGTTAAATGGGACAAACATATGTTCCCATTTTACACTCTCATGAACCCATTGGTGTAATAATCCTAGCCTTAGGCTCTATTTGTTTATCCAGAATGAACAGAAAACTTTCCAGACCGAAAAGGTTGAGCTACTATTTTGTTTTCCAACCCTAATAATTTGTTGTGCTATCTATGAAAGGCAAGGAAAAAGAAAGCAGAATGCGTTCATTAATCATTATAAAATGAAAGCGAAAATGGAACTCAAAAAATTCCCTTCAATTTCCATTTTACATTTGAAACAAATGGGCTCTCAACAGGATCGAAATGGAAACCTAAAACATCCACCAGCCACCACCCTTTCAAGTTCCTACATTCACCCCCTGGACCACTATGGACAAACTCACCTACGAAACTGTATGGTTGTAACACAAGGATTCAAAGATGGGCACTATATCATTATTATCGAGACACGGTGCCGCCGACATAATGTGTTAATTTGACAGTGAAAAGTGAAAACGACCCTTGGGCTTTCCACTTTCTACGAGCTCCCTTTGAAGAGGGTATTATGAAGCAACATAGACCACATGAATAGCTAAGATAATGTGGCACGGAGAGTGGAAAATATGGGCTACTCGCCGGGAGGTGGGAGCCCCTTCTATTATGTCTTGACCAGCTTGAAGAATTAATTTGGTTTGAGTATAATTGCTCCACTTGTCCATCTACATCTTTAATAAATCTTGAGAGAGAGAGTGTGTGTGTGTGCTGATTAGATGAAATAGCAAACGTACCAGAAAAAATGAAATATTACAGAAGACACAATAGTTCAAAACTCTTTCCCAAGTCTGTGGATAGAGTTTCTCCTTTTCTTCTCAATTTTCAAAATGTTATTTTCTAAAACAAACATCTATAAAATATTTACTTGTATTCAAGTAATTGGAGTTTTGAGAACAACAGTCATGAATTTGGGGTTTTTCGTAAATCGTAATTAGCTGAGAGTAAAAAATTACAACACTAGGCACCAAAGGTCTAACTAGTTTACCTTAGCACCAAAAACACAAATTCCTCAAGCTGAATTTTCCGAGCAACAAATTTTGGACTATGTAGCTTGATCACTCGTGTGGTTGGATTGAAACTGCCTCAAAAGCTGCAGAGACTGGTAGTAGAGGTTGAGATCCATACCATCTACATTCCTACCCACCCGTGCCTCTAGAATTGCCTAAAACAACACAAATAGATAGGGTACAAAATAGCATTTGCCAATCACGCTGTGAAGGGAAAAATGATGGTAGAAAGGTCCTCAAATGAATACCCTTTACCTCATTATTGGATTGAATGAGGAGTTCACCAATGAATTGATAGATAGAGCCTATTCGAAGATTGAGGTCTCTCAAATGTCGAGTGTCAATCTTCAGCCTGCAACTTCCATCAACAATTACAGCAATTGCAGCCTCTACCGAGTATTCTTGTAGCCTAAAAGAAATATTAGCAACAAAACTTCCAACAGTGAAACATTTCCAAGCTTTCCTACCTTTATATGGAGTGTTCGCGAAATCAGAAGGCATTCAAACAATACGATGTATATAACAATACAATCTGATCTTAGTATTTGCATAACTGAATCTAATTGTAAAACAATTTATGGAAAAATAAAACTTTATAAATATAATGGGCAGAAGTAAAACATATCAACTGGAAGTCGCTTCAAGGGAGCAAAAAGAGGAACTTTAATGTCTATCATATAACGCAAATCTTCTGTTCAAATTAGTGATTTAAGAAAACAAGCTGAAAATCTTTCATGTTTTGTAATTTGAATGTTATATTCCCATTAAGGGAAGACTTTGGTTAGAATAAGTCAAGAAAAACTTCAAAATTGAGAATATAAAATGTGGAAATTTCACATATTGGAGCTGTAATAAGCTGCAAATCTTTCATCATCATCCAAGCCTTATCCCAACCACATGGGGTTGGCTGCAAGTCTTTCCAACATTGCCCAATGTTGGTCCCAGCCAAGTCTTTGGCATTTTTTGCACGAAGTGGCTGCTCTCAGGCTTTTTTTTTGAATCATGTTTTTTTGAAGGTCTACACAATGGGGGGG